TGCCTTAGTTGTTGAGTAAACTATCGTTATCGTGTCTTCAAGCCATGGATCACGTGCTTCATAATTTGCATATCCACCCCATAGGTCAACTACTTTTTCACCTTTGTGGTATACAGCAAATGATGACCCAGCGTCTAAACCATTTTCATGTAGGTCTCTGTGGATAAATTACATTTATAGAGAGATTGTCGTTCATTGTCGGAGAAGGGTATTTACTGTCAGTATAATTATGCAGCTAAAACTTATTTTTTACCTCCACGGTATAATCGAGGGCTAGGATTCGCACGGGATCGAGTTCACTAATAATTATAAAGTACAGTTAATAAACAAACTATTTGGAGCGAATTGTGGTGGATGTAACGTTTAACCACAGTCCATCCACACCTCGAGAGACTATGGTTTAAACATTTCTTACATCGGCTAAGTGACTCAGGCTGACAGCGCGAGTAACAACCGACCGCTTTCGTTGGAGCGGGTGATTTCTTGCATTAATGAGTAGCAAGTTGTGGTGTATCTGGCCAAAATTCCCAACTACAAACATAAAAGTAGCTGGCCTAAAGCCCCAGTGTGTTATTAAATGAGTGGAGTCGTATAGCAGGTTTGAGCATGGTTTTTGACTAGTCAGTGCCATTTATTATTATGTTGATCTTGCCTAGTACAAATTAAATTAATACTACGGAGCAGGAAGCAATTTGTGAGACATCGCACCAAGAAAAGCACGTTGCCTCTCGATTTGTCTCTTGTGTATGATACAAGTGCATTGCGAAGACGGGTATGGCTACGTCGCCTGTTAAAAGAAACGTTACTTGAAGTCGGTTAAGAACTAGTTACCCGTCGACACTGTCAGGTGACTGTGTAACACAGTTCGTCGCATGCATGAAATAATGTTAGTTTTCAATAACGATTAATAATTAAAGTGTACAGTAATTATTTACTTTTGATACGGCAGTTCATGGTCTTTTTAGATTGTGTTTTGAAGAAAATCTTTCACAAATACCACGTGCACCTACAGATGCAAACTATGTCACCGTCGTCTTCGCTATTTACTGTCAATTTAACTGTTAATCCAATTGTCTATTGAATTTAACTAAAACAATAAGTGAATTTACCTTAATTTGGAATAATTACTGAATAATGGGCATCATATTTGTATTTCAAGTTATTGTTTTTTTCTTGGTAAATAAAACTCGTAATGCAATATAATATCGACTTGGGTTGATCTATCTTCATTAACCAACCCATTTTTGTAAAGAACAACAAAACTTCGAAGGTTTCACCAAAATTGAGGTCGGGCATTCCTTATTGTGGGGGTCAATGACACGGACATACAAAACTCGATAGCAATTTAGACATGTTATTTAGACATTAACACACCTCGTTAACTTACAATATACGACCAGATTGACAAACAACGATTGAAATTGTACAACAAGTAGTATTCTGTCAATATGCAAAGCCGTTGATTCGGGTGACAAGTCGCGCCCTCATCTCAATATCTGTGCTGACTGTCAGTCCAGGCACGTTATTAAGAAATCCACCAGACAGACTGACAGACAGACATAACCCAAAACATCAACAGGGTTTTAAACGTAAATTGAAATGAATCATCCGTAACCCCCGATATATGAAGTTACGTCACTGCTTTTCACAGTGACCGTGTGGATATTCATTATTAACCAACTAACCATATACACTAACTGTTGACCCTGGTATGATTGTTATCGATAAATGCGGCTCATGTTCATGAATGTTACCTGAAAACACGCCTCACTTCGTCAAAACCTGACGCTACATATCCGTTGATTAAAGGAGGAGGTGATTTACTCAGTAAACTCGGTAGATATTGTATTAATACAGAAACAGCAATAACTGCTAATACAGTCCGCTGGTAACCCATGTCATCCGACGTTACAATTATCCCATGGTGCTTTGCGATACCTCGACTTTGTACTTAATGGACTTATAGTCCAATTTACATCGAGTCCATGTTTTTTAATGTAATGCATACACGTGGACCAGGGGCAGATACAGGATTATTTTTATGGGGGGGGGGGGTCCAAACTTTGCCAGACTAATTTAATGATTTTTTTATATTATACAAAAACAAATCGAATACATTTAATAGACTTAATTTGTTCGTGGTATAGTTATATGTATATATAATACTTGCACTATTATGATTTATTGATTGATTGATTGATTGATTGATTGATTGATTGATTGACTGACTGACTGACTGACTGACTGACTGACTGACTGACTGACTGACTGACTGACTGACTAATTGACTGACTGACTGATTGATTGATTGACTTATTTAATAAATAAATTTTATTTTTTAGATTCTTGGGTAAAACAAACTATATTCAATAACATATTCAGTGCATTGACATTGCCCACACTAAACATTATTATGGTTTCTTGCTAAAGGCCGCAATGTGACAATCTATGGTAGTGCTTTGCCTCACAGACATCTAACACAATTGGATTTTAGATTTATATCTACAAATAGTAACATCTTTTATCTGAGATAAAAATGTTGACTAAATATG